TCCTCTCCCTGCCAGTGCCCACTGCACCTCCTCTCCCTGCCAGTGCCCACTGCACCTCCTCTCCCTGCCAGTGCCCACTGCACCTCCTCTCCCTGTCCAGTGCCCACTGCACCTCCTCTCCCTGCCAGTGCCCACTGTACCTCCTCCCCCTGCCCAGTGCCCACTGCACCTCCTCTCCCTGTCCAGTGCCCACTGCACCTCCTTCCCTGCCCATCGTCCACTGCCCCTCCTCCCCTGCCCAGTGCCCACTGTACCTCCTCTCCCTGCCAGTGCCCATTGCCCCTCCTCCCCCTGCCCATCGTCCACTACACCTCCTTTCCCTGCCCAGTGCCCACTGCACCTCCTCTCCCTGCCCATCATCCACTGCACCTCCTCTCCCTGCCAGTGCCCACTGCATCTCCTCTCCCTGCCCAGTGTCCACTGCACCTCCTCTCCCTGCCCAGTGCCCACTGCACCTCCTCCCCCTGCCCGTTCACATATCTGCATTCTCTAAGACAGTCTCTTTGGGAGACAACACGACCCACCTTCCAGTACACTATCCCTTAAATGACCTCTCAGTTTCCCACTAGCTCTTATCTCCCCCACACTGGCTGTCCCGTGGTAAACAGAAGGACCTGGGTCCAGGAACACAGACTCTCCATGCATCTCTCATCTCCATACAGAAGGTAGGAGCAGCAACAGCACTTACCTATAAGGCATATGGCATATGGCTGCAGCCTGGCTCGGAGCAAAAGCTGATTTATTTTTAAGGACGTGAATTACTAGGATGTTATGTCCACAACATGCAAATGTTATCCACACAATATGTGCATCCTCCTGTGCTCTGCAGGGGAGGGTCGCTTCTCTTTACTTACACAGAGCGGGAGAACAGAATGGAACGTGGTGGCACAGCGAGGACCAGCATCGTCCGTACAAAACTCGGGCACGGCAGTGAGGGCAGGGCCTCCACCCTTGTCCCAGATGTACAGGGCAATCTGCTCAAGACAAGACAGTGTTAGACAGGACAGGGTTAAACAAAAACCACAGATACAGGAAGGTACAAACTGCCCCCCGGGGCAGCAGGATACACCTTCTAGAAAGAGCATTAGCTTGAACAATGTCAATTTGCTAATATTCAACAGGAACCACCTCCCAGTTTAAAAAAAAAATGGTAATGCCACATAGATTGATCTGATCAATCAGCAATACACAGTCAACCATGAATCGTGCAGAAAATAAATGAACCATGAAGAGAAAAATCCGCAAAGACGGATGACAGGAAGCCGTTTGAGGACGTGCAGGCTGAGTCGGCACAGAAACCAGTAGGAGGAAGCACCACAGCAGTCTGGGGCTCAGAACCACCAGCGGCTGACGGGAAACACCCGTGGTGGCAGGAATGAGAACAGTCCCAGAGGCTCCTCTGTCTGGATGCCTGCTCCCTAGCCGGTGGAGCTGCTTGGGAAGGATTAGAGGGTGTGGCCTTGGGAGCTCCGGGAATCTGCCTGGCCCTGCCTCCCAGCCCTGGGATGACAGCTGGGCTGCTGAGCCAGGCCCTTTATGTGTGTGCAAGGGATCTGAACTCAAATCCTCATGCTTACACAGAGCACTTTACCAACTAAGCCATCTGCCCAGCCTTTAAAAAAAAAAATGCATTTTTTAAAGTTAAGTTGCAGTCGAAAGAGTTTTAAATTATCTTGCAATAGAGAAACGCTCAGAGATAATTGTGGCATGTACCAAAAATATTCATAGAAACGATGATTGACACAGTGAACAACCAGGAGCCAAGCAGGCACTCACTATCAAGAAAGAACAATAGTATGTTCACAAGCGACCGCTATATGGGGCTGGAGAGATGGCTCAGCAGTTACAAGCACTTTCTGCTCTTACAGAGGACCCTGATTCAGTTCACAGCATCCACACAGTGGCTCAGACCTGCCTGGAGCTTCAGTTCCGGGAGATGTGATGCCCCCTGCTGGCCTCTGTGGGTACTGCACATACATGGTACACATGCCTACACACAGACAAACACTCATACACAATATAAAAATCAATTGATCTTTAAAAAGGAAAGAGACAGAGAGCACTCTGGTTGGCCAGAGCTACACACACCAACATAAATCATCTCCCAGTTGCAGCAATGCTCCTGGGACAATTTCACCACCACAGAGTCCGGAAGGGGACATAAGTGCTTAAGCACCAAGCCACACAGAGACATTCCCAACAATGTTTTGGCATGCTCTTAAAATTCACCTCCGGACCCATCTACTCACCTAAAACAGCAAAGAAGCATGAAGCATGAGATCCAACCTCCCTCCCAACCCCCCAAGCCCCCCACCCCCACCCCCACCCCCCGCTGCTTCTCCACCTAATGCTGGGAAATCATCTCCGTGGTGAGAACACGAGGGTGTGGGGAGGGGGGGGGAGCACTTTTAGGGGATATTAAAATTAAAAAAAAAAAACTTTTAGGAATATAACATTTAAAACACAACTCTTGCATCAAAACACATGACTATTTTTTCTTCAGGACAGAGCTGGCAGCCATAGTCATGACCTTTCCAGCTGGGGTGCGTGTGCAACCACTGAGCTCCGTCCCCAACCAGAGGGGTGGGTCCTTGACCATTAAGACTTAGTCAAATCGCGGCATACCTCATGCTTTAAGTCTATCGTGAAGTCAGACTTCAGGGGCTCGCTCTTTAATCTCTTCGTCAGCCTAGACAATAGAGACATTTGATTTTGTTATTTTAGATTTATGAGACTTTCTAATAGTTGAGAACAGATACAAATATAAATTTTAAGGTAAGAGCATGTGGTTTGGATGAAAATACCAGTTTTCTTTCAGGTCACTTTTTTCTTTGAAAAAAAAATTCTTCATGGTTCCTTTCCCACACAGAATAAAGCCCCACACTCCTGCCTGGCCTGGGGGGCTCTGCATTCCCCCAGCGTCCAGAGTCTTAACCCCCATGCGCTCCCTGGAGCACACCCCTCCCGGTCCCATCCAGTCCTCCATATGAGTCTTCACTGAGCAACCCTTTCATTTTTAAGGAACCATCCCTGAAAGACTGGCCCTCACTACCCATCAGCACAAATGCTGCCATGGTCCCTGAGTGTGACGGTAAAGGGGTGGGGGGGAAGAGTCTTCCTGTTCACATTAAGTTAGACCAAGAGCAAGCCAAACTAATTCTCCACGTCTCTCCCTGCGCTGTCCCTAGGTCTCTAACAAAGGGCCAGCTCTACACTTATTCAACACTGTAGGGAAAGGAACGGGGAACATCTCGTCTTAATTTTTAAAATTCTCACTTATTTTATTTCTATGGATGCTTTCCCGGCAGGTATGCCCATCGAGGCCAGAAGGGGGCGCTGAATGCCTTGCACTTGGAATCCCGCATGGTTATGAAATGCTATGTGGGTTCTGAGACCCAAACCAGGGTCCCCTGGAAGAGTCGCCAGGGCTCTTAACTATTGAGCCATCTCTCCAGACCCTTGATCAAATTTTTAACCAGAGTTTACAAGAGAAAGAATTTGCTGGCCCAGAATAGAACTCAAAATCACAGTCAGATGTTATCTACCTGTATCTGCATGCTGCTTCCAACATTTGTGGTGACTAGCTGGTTTCTTTAAGGTCACTTTCAACCTGTTAGCTGTTATCAGTGGGTGATCAACTCAACACAACACACACACACACACACACACACACACACACACACACACACACACACACACACAACGCAGAGGAGAAGGGAGAGAGGAAGCTTTAATAATAATTGTTTAATAAATCTTGCCACAGATAGTTGCAATATTAGATGGGCTTAATTATCTTATTTTTTCATTCCTTATCTGCATCCGGGGAAACATAGTCTAAAGGACCAGAGTTTGATTAATTGCTGTAGTAGAGTGTACATTTTTTTTACTTGATTTTGCTTGTTTTGCTGACAGAAGAGGAAGGAGGGAGGGAGGGAGGGAGGGATGGACGAACAGACAGACAGATGGACAGAGAAAGACCATGGTTATTGACTAAAACTCTCATGTGCTGGTCACTGTCCAGTGTGGTAAGGAGCAGAGGACACTGAATGCAGAGGTCACCTGGTACAGGTTTCTCTATTTTGCCAGCATTACAGGGGCATGCTGGGAGCATTCTGAACTCCAAGTAAAAAACAAAAAAACCAGGCTCTTAGCCCAATTCCGTCAGCCATAGTTTGCTATAGCTTCCGATGAACACTTGTGTCCTTATATTCCTATGTTGACTATGTAAGATTCCTCTTAGGAGGAGGGGCTTTCATCTTTTGGAGGGGGAGGGGTCAGTAGCCATCATAAAGGCATTTGCAGCCATCCAAAAGCAGTCCAAGGGAGCTCTCTTCAGAGGTCACAGTGAGTTGATGTTAGCGCCAAACTTAGAGGAGGACAGGCCTTGCCAGCTACTGGAACTGTAAATTCCCTCATCTTGAACTTCCCGGCCTCCCAATGTTGTGGCATAATCTTCTTACACACTTTAAAGATGTGTCTTTGCCAAGGCACCTTCTGATTGGTTTAATAAAGAGCTGAGTGGCTATAGCTAAGCAGGAAGAGGTTAGGCGGGACTTCTGGGCAGAGAGAGAGAAGAAGAGGAGATGAATCTAGGCATGGGAGAGGTCCTAGAGGACAGGCAGAGCAAACAGGAAATGCAAGATGGAAGAGAGGTAAAAAGCCAAGAGGCAAAACATAGATTAATATAAATCGGTTAATTTAAGTTATAAGAGCTAGTGGGACAAGACTAAGCTTATAGGCCAAGCTTTCATAATTAATCATAAGTCTTCATGTCATTTTTTGTGAGCTGGTGGCCCAAAGAGAAATCTATCTACATCCAAACTCTCAGGCATACACCTTTCATTCTTATAAATGACCTTGTTTGTGGTATTTTGTTATAGCCAGGCAGACTAAGACACCTGCGAACACAATGAAGTTCTCTCCCATCTCAGCCGGAGCTGTGCTTACATTGGGCGGCTGTGGAGTCTGTACTGGGACAGAGGAAAATTCAAAACTACCAAACACGAATTGTGTCGTGCAGGTGTTCAGGACAGCTGTGACCTCACATGCCTGTGCTTCTCTACAGTAGCTCAACACACTTTCAAGACCCCAAATCCTAGAAATAGGACATGCAGTGGAAAATTAGAGAGACCCTTCCATCTCTGAGCAAAGGCCACAGATGTTTTCCAGTCTTCCACCTTCCAGAGAATAGTTAATATAAGCTAACAAAAACCACATTTCTCCTCAGATGAACTCAGTCACCATTACTCTGCAGCTACACACACACACACACACACACACACACACACACACACACACAGCCAGACATGATTGCCCAGGGTGCCTTCGGGAGCTGGCCAGAGCCTGGCCGGGGCTGTATCCGCATAGTCAGTCCCGTAATCAGCATCCTCTCCAAACCCTGCAAGTCACTGTTTACTGTCTTACTGGTATCAAAGTCACATGGTCGCAAAGGAGGTTCCCACACAATGGTCAAAGGAGGTTCCCGCACAATGGTCACGATTCCTCTGTGTTCTCTGGCCCTTTGGTACCTTCTCTTAGTCTCATGACTTATTAGTCACTTTATTTTGCCAGAAACTACTGGAAAATAGACAGAAGGGGAGTGATGTGTCTGCCTGGCTTCGTAAGGGACCCAGCCGAGGCAAGACCCTCCCGTCCATCACGTTTTCCCACTCCCGCCGGACACCTCTGGCTGAAAGACTCACCTGAGGACCTACAAGTCCTCAGGAACAAAACTCAGTCACATAAGACACTCCCCGAAACGTCTAAAAAGCTCTTACTTATTTACGAGTGGGATACTAAGGGCCCAGCCAGCGGCGAAGTCGGGATATTTAAAGGCTGTAGGATTCTCGGAGAAGGCATAATGGTGAATGATGGTCGACTCTTCATCATGCAATGCTTTTCCTAAAAACCATTCCTGTTCAATGAAAAGATGACATACCATCGTTTTTGAAAAGCCACTTCATGTAAGACTGGAAACAAAGTAATAGCACCAGAACTAGTTAACTAAAATATTATGTATTTCTGCAGGATCCAAATAAAAATATAATTAACACAAGTATGATAATAAATCTATCACAATCTTTATAGTTAAGATGATGATTCAGGATCAGGTCATTGGTGTGAAAAATATTAGCCATCATTATAGTATAAATATAAGATTTTTTTTTCAATGTTCAAACATTGTCTGACTGCCTAAACTTTTTGTGTGCCATAATTATAAGAATATTTTCTTCACTATAAATTGCCTTATTATTTTGATTGTGTGCATGTGTGTGTGTGTGTGTGTCTGTGTGTGTGTGTGCGCGTGCACACACACGTGGAAGTCAGAGGACAACTGTGTGTCCTTGCATTCAAACTTAGACAGTCTTGGCTACAGATGCCTTTACTCCTGAGCCATTTTGCCAGCCTAAGTGCTATTTTTATAGACTACTCCACATAAGAGTATAAAAGATATATATGTGTGTGTGTGTGTGTGTGTGTATATATATATATATATATATATATATATATATATATATATATGTTTTTTTATGTGAACAAGTCTTCTGCCTGTGTGTTTTGTCTATGCACCACATGGTATGCAGTGCCCATAGAAGCCAGAAGAGGGCGCCAGATCTCCTGGAACTGGAGTTAGAGATGGTTGTGAGCTGCCCAGTGGATGCTGGGATTCAAACAGGGGTCCTCTGCAAGAGCAGACACTGCTCTTAACCACTGAGCCACCTCTCCAGCCCCAACCACAGAGGTTTTCAATAAATCTTGGAAAACTTCCTTCCAGAGTTCATCCATTCATTCACTCGATATTTATCAAGAACCTACAATAAGCAGGGATGCGGCTTGTGATACAGAGGGGATAGAAATTAAAGTAAGTGCAATAACTGATGGGGGCGGGGGGTGTCCCAGAAAAGAGAGGAAAACCTCTTGAGGCAACGTAACATCAAGAAGCCCACAGTGAAAAGAAGAATCCGAGAAAGAACAGTAGATATAGTTGGGGTGAAGTCCCCGGTGTTGGGGGTGGGGGCTGAAATCTTCAATGGTAAGAAAGCCCGGCGTCCGGCACACAGTAGGTGTGGGGAGCCTGATAGGAAAGAGGCAGGCAGACTGAGCTGCGCCTCCCGTGCCAGGCTCTAGCAGCCAGAGGAATAGTGTCTGTGTTCCAAGCGCAGTCAAAACCTCCCGCATCCAGCCTGGCTCAGACCGCCACAGCCACCGAGGAAAAGCAAGCCCAGGAGACATGCATGTAAGCAAATGACGGAAGGTGTGATGGTGCCTGGAACAGGAAGAGCTGCTCCCAGACCTGGGGGCCCCATCCTCAGGGTCCCCTCTCCCCTTCTCACTGAGCTTTCACGACTAGACCTGTGACGACAACATGGTTTTACACAAAACATACCGTCTGATTTTATCTCCTGATTACAATGCTATAAAGCACACACGATAGTCTATTAATGTTTTTATCAAGGTTATAAACTATTTTAAGGAAGGACTCAATGGAGACCATGGAAAGGACCATACATCTTCCTTCCCAATGAATGGCTTTCTTAGTGGCTTCATGGAAAGAACAATAACAAAAAAGATAAATCTGGAAAGATAATTAATAATCTACTAGAATTACCCTTAGCCAGCACCATGCCCCACTGCTGTTAAAAATAAATCAACATAAATATGCCTTATCAGATATACAGATATTAAAACCATACTGTGGATTAGAACAGACAGGTTCAAACAAGACAGGGGAGATGAACAGAACCAGCTGAGGAGGCGATTCCACTGAGATCAGTTACTTCAACAACTATTAACCTTACACATTTAAAACACTGAACAAGAGCCCAAGTATGCATTTCTGAGAATGACTGGAAGGAAGCAAGGAAAACAGTATCGGGATCAAAATACCCGGTCCCCCGATGCACGCTGCAGTTACTATTTTGATATGGCTTGTTGGTGTTGCTATCAGCTTCTTGTTCTCCTAAGATTTCCAACAGCAGAGGAAACGGGCCCCACTGGTTTCAGCTGACCTCCACATTACGTCATCTACAGTCCGTCACGCCACTTTCAAGAGAGATAAAACATCCTAGCATTTTCTTCTCTCCGCGCTGCGGAGTTCAAAAGGGAAGGGCAACCATCTCCCTGGGCCTCCGCTCTGAACTTGCTTCTTGTGAACTCGCTTTGAACTTTCTCCATGTATCACTCCAATTTTCATTAAAACGTCCCTGTGAGTCACCATCTCCCTGCAGAATCAGAACCAGAGGTAATGGGGCGGGAGTCTCGGGGTGACACAAACGGAACAGGCTGGAACCCCAACATTCAAGTCAGAAGGAAACAACAGCCTTACGAACGATTTGCACTAGACACAGCAGCAATGCCCAGGGCTGGGGGACACAGCATCATGGGGGAGGACTGGTCAACCCGCTCCTAACTCTCCTCCCACCTGATGGCTTGCCCATGCATTTTTATTAGTGGCTTCTCAGAAATCAACAACAGAAAGAAATCATAATGGATCCTTCCAACACTGAGGATCCACCAGACTCGGTGGTTTTCATGGCAGGGATGAGCTAGGCAGAGTTTGAGAAACCAGTCTAATGAGGAGTGTTGTCGAGGTGTTCTTTCTGCAGCAGCGCACATGGCCTGCACCCCCAGACATCACCCACACTCCTCGGAGTGAGCCTCGGGGTGGATGGAGCCAGTTCCTATGAATACCAGAAAGAATCCAAGTCTGCTGATCCCAAGTGATCAGGTTGAGTTGGGTATGTGGATATCAGACCCAGGATCTGAAGACATCCAAATAATTCTTTTGAGAGCTGGAGAGCTGGCTCAGTGGTTAAAAGCACTTGATGCTGTTACAGAGGACCTGGGTTTGGTTCCCAGCACCCACATATCTCACAACCATCTGTAAATCCAGTTCTGGGGGATCCAGCGCCCTCTTCTGGTCTTTGTGGGCATTGCCTGCACATGGTGAACACACATACATGCAGGCAAAACATCCCTACACATAAGATAAAATAAAACATAAATAAATAAAAACTACGTCTGTGTGTTATATGTGTGGCCATTTCTGACAGGGAAAAATGGCTTATTTAATTTTGTTCCTATGGAAAACTGGCTGGTAACTCTAAAAAGGTATTGTTTTTGTTTTTAACTTCTTTATGTTGCCAACACATATAAATATATATTTTTCACATAAAATGGTTCATTTTATGCTCTTTGTCAGCTACAAACCTCAGAGAATTTTACAGCAGAGCTTTCAGAAATCAAGCTTTTATATCAAAGATCTCTTAATCAAAATCACATTTTCTCTGAATTATCGTCTCCCGAGTCAAAACATGGATTTGAAGTCGTGCGCACCTTAGATGGGTCATATCGCCTGAGTGCTTCGAGGAGTCTGCGGATTTGTATTCTCGTCTCTTCTTCACAGAAGAAGATCCACGCTGAATTCTTGCTATACGTTACAGAAAAGCTGATGGGAAGAACTGGGTTAGGGCAAACGGATTCATAGTGCACATACTATATAATGCAGCAGATGAGTTTACAGTAAGATTTGTTTGTTTGTTTTTGTTTTTTCTGAGACAGGGTTTCTCCGTGTAGCCCTGGCTGTCCTGGAACTAGCTCTGTAGACCAGGCTGCCCTTGAACCCAGAGATCTGCCTGCCTCTGCCTCCTGAGTGCTGAAATTAAAGGTGTGTGCCACCACTACCCAGCTATATTCCTTTTCTTTCTTTTTCCTTTTTTTTTTTTTTTCTTTTTTGGAGTTTATAGTAAGACTTAAACCAGTATTTAGGAAATAGGTGAAGGGTAAACAGAAGGAAAAACGTCTAGACTGTTCTCTGCGTAGTCCCACTTGTATCTCAGCTTTGTGTCTCAGCTCCGAATGCAAGGAAATCCAGGGATTGGTGGTCTCCAGATGGGAAGGGTGCTTACAATTCACTCTGCCCATAACAACATCAGTTTAGAAGAACAATTTCAAACATGAGTTTGAAGCATTCATCAGAAACACATCTAAAAATAAAAACTATGGGGCTGGAGAGATGGCTCAGCAGTTAAACACACTGGCTGCTCTGGCAGAGGACCTGGGTTCGAGTCCCAGCATCCACATGACTGCTCTCAACCATCTGTAACTCCAGTTCCAGGGCATCCAATGCCCTCTTCTGGCCTCTGTGGGTACTGCATGCAGGTAATACGCATACTCACAAGCAGGCAAACACTCATATATAAACTACAGTAAATCATTTTTTAAAAGAAAGTAAGCAAAAACTAATTACTATTAAGAGCCAATCACCGGGGGTGGGGTGGGGGGAATCTAGTTAATACAGTAATCGCAAAATATAAAACTCAAACTTACTCCACTTAGTATCACAGGAAACATACAACCTCTTAACAATTTGAAAAAGTTACTAAGGTATGCAAGAGTGTGGAGGCCCAAATGCCAATGATGGGCAGCATTTGAGTTAAAGGTACCTACTGTGGTAACAAGGGAAGGATGGTCCAAGCACCCTCCTGCTTTGCCAACTGATGGAGAAGGAGCACTCTGGGGAGATCCTGGAAACATAACACGAAGGAAGAGTAAGAATACAACCCCTCAAACCCTGCAAACGGCGCTGCTGTGCCCAGAGTTACCACGCGCTACCCTCCACGTCAACCTGCCTCTCACTGTGCTTCAGGGTCTGCTGCAATGACATCATCGTGTCTCAGAGGAGATCAGCCAACTTCCCTGCCCCCAGACCCCAAGAGTGTTCACCGGGATAACTGGAGATTTGCAAATGTCATCAGGGTTCTCTCAGCCAGGGTTGTTTGTCAGGGATCACTCAGGGGCACAAAACAAACCTTTATATACATGGAGGCAACGCATGCTCTGTGAAACCCTCTGTCTGAGCAAAACGATGCAGCATCCCAGCTATCTCGCATGCCAACGTTTTGCTTCAAGTACCCAAAAATCCCTCTAAAGATGTTTTACACCATAGAAACACTACTCGAAATACTAGACCTACCAAATTAATTACGCAGGCGATAGGAACGGCTCACTGAAAGCCCCACAAATTGATAAATGCAGAAGGAACTAGGAAAGCCTAAAATAAGGCGCCATGGCTACATAAACACCCACGGATGCAGACAGTGTAACGACCCCAAGGCTGTGCACGTTAGCTTGAAACGTCACTGCTGCTTGCTGTATTTCAGGTCGTTAGGGAAGCCGGCAGTCCGAACGTCTCAGCTCACATGCTTGGGCCTTTTCCTGCAACACACACTGCCGTGTCTCCTACTGGGTGTCAGCTGTGAAGTGAATTCAGGGTGACCCCAACAAGGAGTTTAAGAAGGAGTTCCTCCCATCTGGAGTGCTATGGGGGCGCTGACCACGGCACCACACACACGCACGCCGCGCTGACCACGGCACCACACACACGCACGCCGCACTGACCACGGCACCGCCCACACACAACGCGCTGACCACGGCACCGCCCACACACAACGCGCTGACCACGGCACCGCCCACACACAACACACTGACCACGGCACCGCCCACACACAACGCGCTGACCACGGCACCGCCCACACACAACGCGCTGACCACGGCACCGCCCACACACAACGCGCTGACCACGGCACCGCCCACACACAACGCGCTGATCATCGCACCACACACACACGCCGCGCTGACCACGGCACCGCCCACCCATGCCACACTGACCACGGCACCGCCCACCCATGCCACGCTGACCACGGCACACCCCACACACGCCGCATTGACCACGGCACCGTCCACCCACTCCGCGCTGACCATCGCACCACACACACACACTCCACGCTGACCACAGCACCGCCCACACACGCCACACTGACCACGGCTCCACCCACACACGCCACGCTGACCATGGCTCCACCCACACACGCCGCGCTGACCACAGCTCCACCCACTCCGCGCTGACCATCGCACCACACACACACACTCCACGCTGACCACAGCACCGCCCACACAGCCACG